TCGGTTTCAATATAGAATCGGCATGACTTCCAATATCGGAGCAGATCGGTGCAAAATCGGTGCAATACGAAGAGGAAATTGCGCTAGGAGTTCAGTTATTTTCCCAGAGGTTCACCCTATCCGCCTGATCCTCATAATCAGTATTGATTATTGATAAACATAAACATATAAACAAAATCGATCGAAAATTATTCAAATTTTTTCTTCATTCCTGCAATACGTGCTTGAATCAAGTACATTTTGTACTTGATTCACGATCCATTCGTTTATCCTCCAAATTCTTAAAAAGATCGTCACTATTTTCTTCATAAAAAAATCAATTCTCCATTAATATGGCAATACAAATAGATACTTGAATCAAGTACAAAATATACTTGAAGTAAGTACATTAATATACTGCCTACACGTATAATATATATACTTGAATCAAGTATAAAGTATATATCAATATTATAATACTTATTTCAAATTTACCGTGTGTACTTGAATAAAGTATACTTTGGGCTTGATATTACAATTTTCCATGTGTTCAAATGGTTCTGTTTGTTGTTTGAGACCTCGTGTAATTATCATCTGTTTGCGAATAGGCCATGAATATCATCCGGCGGAAGTGGCGATCGATCTGTCGGTCACTGCGTATGTTCCACGTTCAACTTCCGGTGCGCGTGACGCATGCACCGGTGTTAATTCAGGTGTTTTAGTTTATAAAAAAATGAACAGGTTGAATTATCGGGACTAGCCAGGTGGTGCAGGGCTTTTGTTTTGGTAGGGACAATGGGATACTTTCGCTTCTGCTTTTGGTTTGCTCGAAGGGGACGGAGTTTTCATTCAGAATTATTTATTCTGGAATCGCATGGGTGGCGTTCAATGGTTTTTGTTGGCGAGTTTATTTAATTCTGATGGATACTCGTTGTTGTTGTCGTTGCGAGGGTGGAGCTCAGGATTCTGTGGTGTCGGGCTATTAACCTGTTAAATAGCACCACTTCAGGCATCCTGACTGCACAAGTAACAGCTAGGGCACAGGAAGTGCTCGTATTCAACCATTATGTTCGATAAATCATCCATTGGGTTTGGATTGCGAGAGGGTCAAGCTGGTCCCAGATTAATCCAATCGAACATAACATTTGAACTACACGGGGAGAGATATTCAATAAAAATTATGTATCTTGTTGGAAAATACTGGAAAACATTTTATGGAAGGATTTCGGAATTTTCTCAGAACGTTCGGTCATTTTTGGATGAATTTTCTATTGAATTTTTTTTATTGAATATTTCTCTCCGTGCACATGTTCAACCTTTTCTTTGAATACTCAAGCTAGAGATAGCCAAAATGAAAAATCGAAATTGAAATTATAGGATTTTAAAATTCAGAGTTTTAGAATTTTTAGTTTCAGTCAACTTCATATTTTTATTTTTATTTTTATTTTTATTTTAATAGCCCTTCCGTATTTTTTCATTGTGAAAAATGTAGTAATTCAAACAAAAAACAAAATAATCGTCAATATAATTAACTACACCACAAAAATCCATATATCCGTAGAAAACCCCGCCAAAATCCCAGAGTCAATGACCCCCCCGACATTTCTATTTCTTGTACCGCTCAATTTTGACATGAATACATCAATCTCAAAACTGAGCGGTACAAGAAAAAAAAAAAATTTCACCAGCAATTAAAATATAAGTAATCGATTAAAAAAAAAATAAAAATAAAAACAAAAAGATTGGGCAATGAAACAATTGAGGGGATGCATTGAACGATTGATTTTTCAATCACCGATCATTCACTGGGATCTCGAAAATAGAGTGCGCATCCTATTGAATAAAAATTTCTGATACCCATCCACCGAAGTATGACTCACTGGATATCACTTGAACCAATAGTCGCGGAAGTTCTATCACCGCATCGACTGGAGGTATCGGCCAGGATCGGATCTGGTGTGTCGAGAGAAATCATCCATGGAATTGACACCCCCCTCCTCCTCCTCCCCCTAACCCCACCAACCACCCACCCACCCCAGCAACATCTAGATTCACGGATATATTGGCAATATACAATACCGTCTCCTGTCTCCAAACTTCATCATCCCACGTATCCGTTTGAGGCATCACAAACATATCTGTTCATCTTCAATTCCCAATATACCCGCAATGCATACGCCCATGTCTGATCGCAATCTGATTTAATATAAACTTGATATTCGTGGAGCATGGGAAGTGATGACAGCTGGGATTATTCCTTTAATCAAACATATGTCTCACTCGAAATAGTCACTGACCCAAAAATCAAAATTACACTAGACCGAATTATCTCGGTATTTTAAACAGACATTTCTTCCTCGTGCCATTTTCAATAAACTAAAACTAACGTATTTAATTCACTGTCTTTAAATTATTTATCTGTTCTCCATATTCCATTAATTATTACAGAAAAATGTTCTTTAGTCAAGAATATTTACTAACCACGCGAAAATATATTTGGAATTAGTAAGTCTTATGGGAGTATTTATACAGTGATCGCCAGATTTACTTGTGGGAAGAAAATATTCTTTCAAAAATAATTAAAATAATAGCAACAATAATTTTTAAAATCATAGCAATAATAATTTTTTAAATAATAGCAAAAATAATTTTTTTTCTCAGTGTATATCTCATAAAAAATTATTAAAAATTATTATCATTGTTATCATTATTCTATAAAAGTGGAAATTTCTTTGAAATTCTGGATTTCACAGTGCATTAAATATATATAATGCGAGCCAATTTGATGTATGTACTATATTCCTATGTATCCATAATGCCGATGATATGTATCTCTCGACGAGGCAAAACGGGTGAATCTCGTCTTCATGTGAATCCAATTAAGTGTAGGATCGGAGGACTGGAGTTACCTCACGTTGAATCCATCGATGTTGAAAAGGGAAGCCAGAAAATAGCGGGATACATCGAGAGTTGGTGGAGGGTTGGCGGGGGGGTCGGCGGGGGGATTCCGCGGGGGGTGCGCAGGGGGGCTTGGCGAATGAATACCCAGTGATATCGGTTGCTATGCCACCGGCACACATCCAAATGGCCTGGGACAACCCTCTTCTTACACGATAAATGGCCATGAGCGCAAACCTTTCCGCGTAATGGATGAGTCGTAGTTTCATCTCTCCCTGACCTCATTATTGTCCGGATGATTTTCTACCCACCGACCTGATTCCTCTACGCAGCCGTCGACCTGTCTTGAGTATCAACTGTCATCACTCTTATCATTCAAATTGAAAAAATAAATTCACCTTTAAATCCGAATCACCCTAAATTCACCCCTAGCCTATACCTTCGTTTCTATTTTTTGACTGGAACATCAGATTCAATTCTTTGGAGTGGAAATTAAAAATTAATTCATTGGCAGTGAAAAATAATAGAAAATTGATTTTTTATTATCAGGAGATTTGTTTGTGGAAAATAAAAATGAACGCTGGGAATGAAAATTTAATTAGTGATGGAAATAGTGGACAGCAGAATTAATGGGAATGAGTTCATTTTTTCATTGAAATTAAAATGAAAAAAAAATATCAATTGGTTATAGAAAATAGTGAAGAGTAAAAACAAAAAATAAATTTATTGGCTATGAAAATAAATAAAAGAAAATTAATGAATCGTAATTGTCATCTTTCTAATAAAAAATTCCGGTCATCCTCCAATTTTCGAATTTAATGCACACTTTCATGACCGATTTGCTTTTAAATTGAATAAAAATTCCCACCGCACGGTGAATTGAGTCGCTGATATCTGAAAATTCAAAATTTTTAAACCGTGTAATTACCCACGTCCATGCAAACTTGATTGCATTTGCTTCATCGGGATGGAATTCACAATCAATATAATCAACTCTGGGCTTTAATGACTCGAGATAAATCCGTCATCAAGGCAGTGGGGGGAGCACAAATGATTACGCAATGAAAAAATATCTAAAAAATGCGCAAACCGACGGATAATGCAAGAATTACTTGACGGAATTGAATGATTTCGGTGTGAATTTGATTATAATTTACTGTCACAATCAGCGGATTTCTCGGATTATACTTTTCAGAAGGGGAAACTAGAAATTTCGCTGGATGTCCGGACGATAAAATGGATTTTACATTTTACCCCAATCTAGTCGCACTACGTTGGTCATATTACGTGACTATTGGATCAATGTGTTATCTCCTGCCGAGGGGATGATTATCCAATTACAGTTGCATCATTCGGGTTTTAAATGTAGGGCACAAAAATTCGAGTACTTTTCATTAAACAAACAAATTGTTTGGCAATGAATTTTTACCTACAAAAAATATTTCAATTCTTATTTACAATTTTAATCAATTAATTAATTAATTCATTAATCAATTGATCATTAATTTAAAAAATACGACGGAATTGATTTCCATTTTTCCGCCATTCACTGAAAAAAAAATATTTATTCATCTTTTAAATAATTTGTATTAGTTTTATATATTTAAATCTCCGCGAAAAATATATTTCATCGAGAATATTTAATTAGCGCATCCAATCAATTATTTAATGAATTCTTTAATTCACCGATGATAAAAATTGAATTGAAGAAGAATTTACTGTGATTATAGTTTCAGTTTTGTGTGTTGAATTTCCCGCGTAAAATATATGTAATCCATAACTGCAGGTCAATGATAAAAGGGCGCAAGTACCGATGAGTAATAATTGACGTGAAACTGAAATTTCTCTGTTTCCGGCGGAATGGATTATGGGAAAATAATCAACAGACATAATTTTTATTTCGCAAAATTTAATTCCGGATTCTCTTGGAATAATGGAAGTTGTAATTTCTAATGAGAGGCGCTCATTACGCTGAAGCCTCGAGCTCGCAACTTGAAACCGGAGAACTCAAAATCTGACTCGCCATAATACGTTATCACAATAGCCTTCATAATTCAAAAGCCCCCAAAGTTTATTCAAGGATAACAGAGAATTTATTTTTTATTTTTTTCAGATACCCGAGAATACCGCGGGGACATGTTGCAGATGTTTCTTCCAGCCCTCCCCACATCCCTTGTATCACCTTTGTCCGGAGGCTATACACAATTCGCGTGGAGGTCTCCTCGGGGGAGTAATCGGGCTGTGCTCAGGGTAGAGGGAAAAAAGAAGCACTTTTGAAACTTAACTGCCAGTGGGAGGGCAACCTTGGAATATAAGCGCCAAGACAAGAGCAGAAGAAAAGTTCCACCGAGGAGAAGCGAAATGAGAAGTACGGAGTAAATGTGAGTTTCTATTTTTTCCCGAAGCCTCATGTTCACTCGAAAATATTCTTCCCCTTTTTTTTTCTTCTCTTTCATTTTTAATCATCATCTCGAATTAGAACGCGAATGCAGACGGTCCACTCGAAGATTTTTCGCGAATTCGTTTTAATTAAGAAAAGCAATTGCTCTTTAAAAAATTACTCTCCCGGGGACGGGTGGAGTATGAAACGAGTGGAGAAAAGAATACTCGAGGAGATTGTCTATTCAATTTTCTTGAGAGATTAAAAGGAGGGGTTTTTCTCGAGTTGATATTTCTCCATTTCGCGAAAAACCTCATTCTCCATTTGGTGATACATTTATCTGGAGTGAATCCGGGGACACTTTCGGGCAAAATATTTCCGATAATTTTGTTCTCGACGGATGATGTTCGAGTCATGTGTATTAAATCCGAGGGATCATGCATGGGTGGTACTAAATCTGCCAGTATGGGTAGTAAACCTGTCATTTACGGTGGGGATTTGGATTTTAGTGAATATGCACGGGGGATATTTAATCTTCTAACATTATCGCGTAAAAGATGGAAAAGAATCGGAGATTATGATGGCACTGAAGCGATAATCCGCACTCATAAGAATTCGTTTGATACTAACATCATTCGTGGTTATAGTTATCGAACGATTCATTTGAGCGTTGGCATGTGCAGTCAATTGACCCACGGTAATAGTTACTGAATTATTAACCCTTAACCTGACGAACAGATTATTCGATGATGATTCATCATGATTTGAGGAATGATTTGAAATGATTTTCAAAGGCATTTCATTCTGATAAAAATTATAATCTAATTAAATGTAAGCGGATGTGGTCGATGATTTGGAATGGAAAATATGAACATGATGGCGTGGTCCGGCAGTCTAGATTCGGTAATTATTGCCGAATACTCCCTTGCGTCAACATAATTGTTGGGTTTCTACAACTACCCATCAGGGAATTCCACTTTATTGAACGAACAATATTTACAGTCAACTTCAACGAATTTAATAGAAGCAGATAGAAAAATAAGTGCCAATACAATTCTACCAGTTCATACACCGAGAAGAAAAATACTCTTTAGCAAAGAATATTTTTTTTCTGGTTAATAATTATTGGGTAAAGAAATATTCCAGCCTCTGCTGATTCTTCATTACGCAATCAACTGGTGAATTAGATAAATCAATTCTACGGGGTGTAATGATTAAAATCCGAAGGCTCGCCCGCAGTTCTAACGTTCATTTAATTTATCTCAAGGATGAACAAATCCAGACGACAAATAGTCTCCGTTAATGGAAGACCGGAGTCCGATATATCTGTATACCTAGAAAAGATATAAAGAGAGTCGTTGAAAAGTTGAGAGTAAAAACTGCAGATGCAAAGTTTTTCATGGGAGTTTTTTCCCCCAGGAAGTACAAACTTGGCTCGCGATAGCTGTATTTTTCCTGCGCCTGCTAAAATCAGACGCCCACCTACATTCCCTCTGCTCCATTCCTTTTCACTGTTACATACAAGCGCCGAAGTATATTATGTATTACACCGATGGGGGTGAGATCGTATGGCTTCAATGGAACTCTTGTTTTTCATCCCCTCCGAAGGTCTTCTCACAGCTGTACAAGTTGAATTCCTCATTCGAGCCTGAATAATTCCACGGGTGGTGAAATTTCATGATCCAACTTTACCACGAATTGGTAAATATTGATGGTGTAAATAGAAATGGAATTGCGTGGTTAATTCAGGGGTGGCTTTGGGATTTTTTCTTTTCAGACAACCCAGTGACAAGTCGATATCGTTTGGACTTGGTCGGTAGCTATTTGAACTAGTTCCACCCTCGAACGTTTTTCGTGTTTTGCCACACATCAATTCGGTTAACTCTCATTTGTTGTTCTTCTTGAGAATAAGGAAAGTCTTTTCCTCGATAAGACTTGCCCCATTGAATTACAAACTTCTACCACCCCGAACTAGATCGAATTTCTCGCACTATTGTTTCCCCATCGAACTACCTCAAACGTGTTGTTGAAAGCCTTCGAATGCTATTCCGTGTATGCGCATTTAAAGTTTCAACGGGTGAATGGTAGTTAGCTGAATGCGGTGAGATTGCCTGATCGATCCACAACCTCACGACATCTGAACAATTCTGGACGTTCGAGGGTCCATTTTGTCGGTGAGAACTCGAGCGCGGAAAACCCTCACGACTCCTTCGGCCCGTAAACCTCCGGCTTCTCACTGGCTCAAATCCTCAACGGTTGCACGACAAACAAGGATTTTCTGGTGTTTGTCTCGTCCCCAAGACCCGATCATTTTTCTCTTTTTCTTTTCTCGGACTCCTCCGGAGTCTGATGAATTTTCGGCTGAATCCTGAGCTTCATGAGAAAAGTAATCTCCGTGAATGTGGGGTAGCAAAGTTCACGGAGATATTCTTATTTTCGTCGTATGATATATTTCGCGGGAGGAAAGGGGGATGAAAGTGTCCGTGGCACAAGGAGACAGATGGCCGGAGATATTTCAAGGCGGAGTTAAAACGAGAAAAGTTCAGGTTAAAGATAGAGGGGTATATTCTGAATAATTATGATAAAACATGCCTGCTGATTCCAACTATTCGCCCATCACGGTTATACAATCATCGTAGACACCCGTGCAATCATCAATTTGAATTTCCCGCCGTGCGAGTCACTTCCGTTTCACCTTGTCGTCCCGCTGGGAGACGCCTTTCACGGCTCTCGCGGGCGCGATGAAGGGGTTACACAGGGAATCGTAAAACTTCTCTATTCAATTGATCAAAAAATTCATCCATCCATCCTCTCCCTCCCTCCCACAATCAATTCCCGCCCCTCCGCGGGATTATCAGCTGCAATAAAATGGAACTGCGCGACAGTCAATCGAACGGACTAATCCCTGGATTTATATCATTATTATGAATTATTAAAGGGAAAATTTATTACCACCTATATTGTGTACTCTCCCCCCCCCTTATTTTTTGTTATATACACGGAGGGCATTTAATACATGAGGGAAAACGGAGAAGTGGTGGGAGAAATTGGGTTACCGAGGGAGTTGCTGAGGGGGCAGTTGACAGTCGCCTCGCAAATTAGAATTGGTAAGGGGTGGACGGGGGTGGAAGAGCGTGGAAGGGGGTGATAGTTGGAGTGGGAGGGGCAGGGAGTTAAAGGGAGGGGAAAGCGCGCACACGAAGTGGTATATAATGTCATTTGGGTTGTATCGAATTGTCTAGCCGTATGGCTACAGGCCATCGACCTGCCACGGACGATAGCTAATAATAGACACCTAGAGGTATAATTTCTTTATCTTCATGAGGTTTATGCAATACTCTGGGTCACATACCCACACCGATAAATATCCACGCGCAAAAATAAACACGATGCTCTTACTCCATCGCACATCAAATTATCAACGAGCAATCAGATAATTCGACGATTGATAAACTCACTTTATTAATTATATTAGTTAAATTGGAATAATTAAAAGGTTGGGGAGGGGAGAGTGGAGCTTTTATTTCGGATCGGATTTATATCGATGATAGGCATTGTTTTCGTATTTTAGCATCATACTGTGGTGATCACTTTTAAAAGTAGAATTTTATGTGGAGTTTACTGTGCGGTTCGTAGAATTCAATAATTAAATTATCGATATTTGTTGTTGTTTCCATTTCATGCGCAAGTGTTGTTTCAACGCAGCTTTTGAAACAGTCGGTGAAACTAGTGCAATCACTGGAAAATATTGTTTAAGCGTTGCTCAACGTATTTATGAAACAGTTATTCCACGTCATTTCTACGGTAAATTCGAAAATAGCAGATGGATGAGGGAATTTGTAAGAGTAATTTCCGGTGGTAGTTTAAATAGGTCAGAGTAGCATCTGTTCGGTCGGTGTAACGAAATAAATTCCTTTGTCAACAATTTGCACGTTGTCACCTTCAAATGAGAGTGTAATGTTTTTTCTTCGTGTTCAACAATGTATGAATTCCTTCAGGGACAAGGGGCCTTTGTTATTCGCTATGCCGAGCATTCCTTCTATGACAGTAATGGGGGTAATGAGTTTTCCCGGCAGTCAGTGCAGAATTTTCCACCCCCTACCTCTTGCCAGTGATTAATACTCAAGATGCAATTAATTAACATTTGCCTCGGGTAACGGCGATCGAAGTTATCAGATGTTGTAGCTTTTGGGAGTCGGGGTGGATCATCCTCCAGAAATTTAAAAGACTCGTGATGTGAATCGGGGAATGAGAGCGTTGTGATAAGTCGAGTACACTTGCTCGAGGGGAACTCAGTCGAGTGGAGGGAATCGGTGAACAGGTGTTACAGATTGGATTTCCGTCGAGCGATAATGGCGATCATGATGATGAAATATCACCGTGAAGACCTACCACCAGTTTTATTGACAATCCGTTTTGTCGTCCTCAGTTACTGAGAATTCTCAGGGCACTGGGAGAAAAATTCGCTTTACCGACTGTTTCGTCTTACGGGTCTTGCCCTTTAAATTTATTGCCGCTTGAAATTTCTCGAATTTTCAGAATTTTTACGCTCCCCCTGTTCCTAGGTTAAATTCCTTCAATAATTTACAGCCTTCATCAGTTTTCGCGATTCTCTCTAACTTTCACGATTTTATGATTTTTTGACATTTTTTTAATTTCAAAAATTTTGCCGCTCCCGCTTTTCTCATCTCTCCATTTGATTTGAAGACGAATTTAATTAAAAAAATTATAACGTCACGCATTCAATTTTGTTTAATAATTAAAAAAATTTTTTTTTACCAATTTATTTTTATTTAATGTTTTTTGTAATGATTAATGAAAATAATAAGGATTGGCGTTTTACAGTCACACGAGATATTTCGAGAATTCCAAGGATTTCGAGATATCGCGAGATATTTCGGGATCGATTTCCTTTCTCCTTTCAGTATTAGATAGAATCGAGAATGTAAAAATTTTTAATTATTTTTAAATTAGAAATATTGAATGCACATATAAAAAGTA